TATATATATATATATATATATATCTATCTATATATATATATATATATATATATATATATATATATATATATATATATATATATATATATATATATATATATATATATATATATATATATATATATATATATTTTAATTGTCTTAAGACAAAAATGGATGTTGAATAGTTTTAGGATCATTTTGATGAAAGTTTTTTGATCCACTTAAAAAGTAGACTACTGTAGGCTAAAGGGCCCTATCATACACCAATGTGGCATGCAATGTGGCACAAGGCGCGACGCAATAGTTGTTTGCTAGTTTCAGCTTGGCGCAAGAGTCGCTTTGACGTTTTGCGATCCGCTATTTAAATAGCAAATGTATTTGCGCTCATATGTGTTCTCGTCTAAAAAAAAAAAGGCGTGTTGAGGCGCACTGCTGGCTCGTTGCTATTTTGAGAAACTATAATAGATTTTTCAATAGACCAAAACAAAGCCGGTCTATTGTCCAGCGCAGAGCGCGTTAGTTGTGCGCCTCGCTTACACACTGCTTAATACACACAAGATGTAGAGCAATACACAAATATCTTTACATATGAAAAAGAATTAAAATATCAAGGATATATATAGGATACAATAAGAAAATATATAGGATATAAATATAAAGGATTAAAATATTACAAAACATTATTTTCTAGCCTACATAAATATAAACACCACTGCCGTCATGTCTTCTTCATCTCGGGGGGCTTTTTCAGTTCATTCATAAACAATTTGCTTTTGTATAACGTTATTATTATTAGCAGTATTATTTATTATATCCATATTTATATTTGTTTTATTAAAAACAAGCTTAGCTTTGTCCACCTGTCAGGTTTTAGACCATATGGGGCACAGCATGTGTATTTGGATATAACTCAGTTGTTTGAACACACTTCGTTATTATTGTTTATTTATTTGTTTGCTGGAAATTAGAACTGAATTTAGAAATAGTTTTGAAACAAATCTTTGCACTTAAAAAACGAAATTATTTATAGGCTAATTGAGGTCTGTGCGTACAAGGTTTCCCTATCCACGAGAGCGAAAGTGAAAGTAGATTATGAGATGCCTTATCTCTCATTCTCGCGCTGCAGATGCCCTGTTTAACTGTTTTGTTGCTAGTGAAATGCTCAGTTTTTCCACTCACTAAGTCATCATGTAAATAGTAAATGAGCTTATGGCGTGACGTAGCTGGCTCTTAAAGAGAATGGGAGATGAGACTCTGATTGGTTTATGCTCAAAACACACGTATAACTCATTAAGAAAATAAACTCAACCCTTTTAGACCATGCACCACAGCGCAAAGCGGATTTTTCCGTCCTTATATTAGCAAAAGTGGATTCTGACACGCCCTGAATGCGTTTCCGCCCTGCACTTTGCACTTTGCGCATGGATCGTCAAATTAGAGCCCAAAGAGTTTTATTTTACATTTGATTTTTGTACCTAAATACTGTTAGATTCTCCAGCAAAACAAAAAGCACTGTTTATTTAATTTTCATGTTCTATTGTTTTAAAGGGATAGTTCAGCCAAAAATGAAAATATACTTACTATTTTCAAACCTCTTTGAGTTTCTTTATTCTGTTCAACACAAAAGACAGAAGAAAGCTGGCAACCACTGACTTCCATAGTAGGAAAAACAAATGGAGGTCAATGGTTACAGATTTCTACAGAGGTAAAGTTGGTTTTATATTCAGACAATTTAATAATATAATTTTTAGAAAAGAGTTATTTGCTAATTCTCAATAGGGAAATCATATTAGCAGCAAATGACTATAAAAGTACAACGTTGTTCACATAGATAGTGTTAATGTTTTTTTGAAGTCATACCTGCATGCTAATTCCGATCGAAGTAACATAAACAATATAGGGACTGCTAAATGAACGAATGTGCAAATATAAAACCAACTTTACCTCTATCAGTTTTCTAACATTCTTCAAAATATCTTCTTATGTGTTAAACAGAAGAAATAAAAGTCAGAAAAGTTAGAAACAAGTAAAGGGTAACTAAATATTGACAGAACTTTCATTTTTGGGTAAACTATCCCATGAATCTATACGTGTTTATCATATTTTATAAAGATGCACTCACTATTTGTGTAAAATTACGAAGTCTACCCAAGCAGAGTTGTAGAAATCATCTTATGTATAATGTCATATATATATGTCAGTTTTTTATCCAATGTTCAGCCCTAAAAATGACACAATAACTGATTTCCAAACACAAACATGATAAAAAGGGAAGGTTGCACGATGTCAGTTATGTGCCCGAGAAAATCTGCCATACTGTATGTAACACAAGGCGTGTCATTGACGAAAAACAGAAATATTCACATTTATTGATCATTAAAATGTCAACGCACACGTCAGTAATAGCTTTCAATCCACGCTAACAAGTTGCAAACGGCATGTCAGGTGTTAAAGCGCAAGTTTTAAAGATCACAAGTCATTTTACATCAAGAGTAACCCAATAAAATGAACATCTAATCTTTCAAAACAACCAGTTTAGCGTCTGTGTTTTTGAGCTAATGCTATGACGAGCTAAAGCAAGCTAGCGCAAACACACCACTGATGTAGCGCATTTACACACTTTATCATCACAACTAAAAGTCTTAAGCGTGTAAAATGTTATTAAATCTTAAATTATATTATTTAAGAGCGCATGGCTATGAAATACTTTCGGTTATTTAACCATTTGACACTTCTGCTGTGTTAGCATACGCGGCTAGCATGCTAGCATGACGGAAACTCACTTTCTGAGGAGAAATCCCGGCTTCGGCTCAACAAATTCCTGCTGTCATAAAATAAATCTTTGGCCACAAATCTTCAGACTCGCTTATTCTCGGCTTGTTGTTCGTGGCTTGTTTTCAGATTTCTGCCACGGACGGTTCTGCACATCCGTGTGTAATAATAATGAGCCGCAAACACTCCTCCCTTCTGTCATGAATGCGTTCATAATCACTGAGGACAGAATGCAAACATGAATTATGTATTATGCTAACTTATATGTATCTTTAAAACTTGTCTAGCAATTTAGCCTATAAGTTATGAAACAAAAGTGTGCAATGAAATGTTTTGTTTAGCTTTGTCTATCTATCTATCTATCTATCTATCTATCTATCTATCTATCTATCTATCTATCTATCTATCTATCTATCTATCTATCTATTATTCAAGTCCTTTTACACTTAAAAAATATTTTATAATTTTAACACAATATAGGCTATATATTACCAATGCAATTATTTGGTGCACCTTCCTAGTACCAGATTGGACCCCCTTTTCCCTTTAGAACTGCCTTTTTCCTTAGTGGCGTAGATATAACAAGTTACTGGAAATACTCAGAGATTTGATCCATATTAACATGATAGCATCACACAGTTGATGATGCAGATTTGCCGGCTGCACATCCATGATGTGAATCTCCCATTCCATCACATCCCAAAGGTGCTTTATTGGATTGAGCTCTGGGGACTGTGGAGGCCATCTGAGTTCAGTGAACTCATTGTTAAGCTCAAGAAAACAGTCTGAGATGATTCGTGCTTCATGGCATGGTGCGTTATCCTGCTGGAAGTAGCCATCAGAAGATGGGAACACTGTGGTCATAAAGGGATGGACATGGTCAGCAACAATACTCAGGTGGACTGTGGTGTTGACACCATGCTCAAATATCCCCCACACCATTACACCACCACCACCAGCATGAACCTTTGATACAAGGCAGGATGGATCCATGCTTTCATGTTGTTGATGTCAAATTCTGACTCGACCATTTAATGTCACAGCAGAAATGGAGACTCATCAGAGCAGGCATCGTTTCTCCAATCTTCTATTGTCCAGTTTTGGTGAGCCTGTGTGAATTGTAGCCTCAGTTTCCTGTTCTTAGCCGACAGGAGCGGCACCCGGTGTGGTCTTCTGCTGCTGTAGCCCATCCGCCTCAAGGTTGGACGTGTTGTGTATTCAAAGATGCTCTTCTGAAGACCTCGGTTGTAGTGAGTGCTTATTTGAGTTACTGTTGCCTTTCTATCAGCTGGAACCAGTCTGGCCATTCTTCTCTGATCTCTGAACAAGGCACTTGCGTCCACAGAACTGCCGCTCACTGGATATTTTCTCTTTTTCCAACCATTCTCTGTAAGCCCAAGAGATGGTTGTGCATGAAAATACCAGATCAGCAGTTTTTGAAATACTCAGACCAGCCAATCAACAAGCATGGCATGCTCAAAATCACTTAAATCCCCACTTAAAGCAGCAGGTGTACCTACAGGTGTACCTAATTTATTGGCCGGTGAGTGTTTATATACAGTTGAGGTCAGAATTATTCGCCCCAATTGACTTTTTTTTCTTTTTCTTAAATATTTCCCAAATGATGTTTAACAGAGCAAGGAAATTTTCACAGTATGTCTGATAATATTTTTTCTTGTGGAGAAAGTCTTATTTGTTTTATTTCGGCTACAATAAAACCAGTTTTAAATGTTTTTTAAAATCATTTTAAGGTCAATATTATCAGCCCCTTTAAGCTATATATTTTTTTCCGATAGTCTACAGAACAAACCATTATTATACAATAACTTGCCTGATTACCCTAACCTGCCTAGTTACCCTAATTAACCTAGTTAAGCCTTTAAATGTCCCTTTAAGCTGTATAGAAGTGTCTTGAAAAATATCTAGTAAAATATTACACATTATATAATATTATATATACTATATTATTTACTGTCATCATGGCAAAACTAAAATAAATCAGTTTTTAGAAATGAGTTATTAAACTATTATGATTAGAAATGTGTTGAAAAATCTCCCCTAGGTTAAACAGAAAAAGAAAATAAACTGGGGGCTCATAATTCAGGGGGTCTAATAATTCTGACCTCAACTGTATGTATGTGTGTGTGTATGTATATATATATATATATATATATATATATATATATATATATATATATATATATATATATATAATATATACAGAGGTTTTATTTTGTAAACTATTGTATTATTTTTATTCTAAACGAATGGACCATTTTCTAGTCTTACCAACTCTCTGAAATGCTCATAAAATAACACTGGAATAAATTGCACATTACAATATATTTACATCAAACACAGCTATTTTAATCTTTAATATTATTTCCTTTTTTACTGCATATTTTGATCAGACAATCGCAAAGACCTTTTTTTTTTTTTTTTTTTTAAAAACCCACAAACCTGAATATATGCAACAAATCATTATAACACTGTCTGTTTCAAATGCTATAAAATGCATTATAGTGCCATTAATGACAAATTCCTCATTCAGAAAAAAGCATGATGAAAAGTCAAAGATGATAAAAGGTTCAAAAGAACGATTAGAGACGGATAAGATAAGCGTTTACTCACACAGACTGATATATACATGTGATTATACAAGGCAATAACAGAAACTCACAGACATGAGCAACAGGAGCATTCAGAACTCTATTATTTTACATGATTTTCAGAAGTCATCGTCATCACAGATGTCCAGATAAACGTCAAAAGCCTCACGGTTGCAGTTTCCGTCCGGGGTGAAAACGTATTTGTGGAACGTCCCGTCAACACATATGGCTAAAAACACACACACATGATTAATAAGAGTGATCAATTTAGTTTACGATGTTTTATGTTTTATTAAATTTTGAAATCATGATTCGGACAGTTTTGAATAGGTAATATAGACACTTAAATATAAAAATAATGATTAATTTATTAGAAATTATGACAAAATTTGAATTGTTTCAGGCAATTAATATCAATAATTATTATTATTTTCATAATTATATATATATAATTTATTTATTTATTAAAGTGCATGATGAATCTTCAGCAAATGCCTCAATTATTGTTTAAATGATTCATTATTGGATGAATGAACTCATTGAACAGATTTCTTAACAACAAAGTCTGCAAACGCTTCATTATTGGATGATTCCGCATTTTTTATAATGAAATTTATGCGCAAATAAGTCTTTAATTGTATGAGTTAGCTTTTTTTTGTTGCTGATTTTAAGAAAATGACTCACCAATTTCTTCATTACTGTATGAATCAACTTTTTACAAACAAATCTCCTGATCAATTTATTCAATGACTCCCTTATAAAGTCTTCAAATGCTTCAATAGTGAATGAATCAGTGTTTTTATTATTTACATATCTCAAATAAATGACTCGGTGACTCACTTGAAGTGCTCAAATGCATTATTACTGGATGATTCAGGTTCTTAAACAAATCTCTTAAATGGATGATTTACTGAAGTCTTCAAATGGTGGTTTGGAAATTAGAATTGTTTGACAAATCTCAAGCAAATGTCTCAATGGCTCACTTATAAATATATTTACAAATATTTACTTCAATGACTCCTTCAAAAAGTCTTCAAATGCTTATCGAATGACTCAATGACTCACTGGTAAAAGGTTCAAATGCTCCATAAATGAATGATTCTGTTTTTATTTTTAAACAAATCAAGCAAATGACTCAATGACTCAGCCATAAAATATTTAATCATCATTGCTGGATGAATCAGCATTTTTGAACAAATCTCTTTAATGGATGATTCACTGACGTCTTAAAATGGCTCATTAGTGGAGAAATTAGCGATGTTACCAAATCTCTGGCAAATGATTTAATGACTTAATGGATGAATCAGTGTTCTAAACAAATCTGTTGAATTCATGATTCACTGGATCCCTCAAAGTCTTTAAATGGCTAACTAGTGGAGCATTTTTTTAAACAAATCTTACTTATAAAGTGTTGAAATGCTTAGTGGCTAAGTCAGAGTTTTCAAAATGAATCTCCTTAACTAGTGATTCAGTGATTCCCTTAATAAGTCTTCAAATGCTTCACAACTCCTGAGCAAATGACTCAGTGATTCACTCCTAAATGTTTCAAATACTTCATTATTGGATGATTCACCTGTAAAGTCTTTAAATATAACAATTCTGGATGAACCAGTATTTTTGAACAAATTGATTAAAAAGATTATTCACTGAATCTCTTATTAAAGTTTTCAAATGATTCATTAGTGGAGGAATTAGTAGTTTGAACAAATCTCAAGCAAATGATTCAGTGACTTAATAGATGAATCAGAGTTTTGAACAAATCTCTAGAATGAATGAATCACTGAATGATTAATTAGTGGAAGAATTAGCATTCGCTGACTTGAGCATTTATAAACAAATCTCTTGATGATGTTGGCATTTAGGAACAGGATCGTGTAAATGTTTGAATCAAGATCCCAATCTCCTAATTAATTAACAGCCGCTCTGATGAGGATTTGTTTAAAGGTCTAGAAATGAAGCCCACGTACCAATAACAGAGTTGACGTTTTTGGAGGTGTTCTTCCCGAAGGCGCAGATACACGCGCACTCTGCAGGAACTGTGAAGTTGGCCAGAGACCACTGACTGTCCACATACTGACCGATGACTGGACCGACCTTACCCACACGAGCCAAACTAAAGGAAATACACACACACACACACACACACACACACACACACACACACACACACACACACACACACACACACACACACACACACACACACACACACACACACACACACACATAAACCATCACTGTGTGTGATGAAGAGTGTAATGAACTGAGTTTATTCCTAAAGCGTGTGTGAAAGTCTTACGCTGAGCGGCGGTTCAGTTTGGTGTCTTTCAGGGCAAATATGTGCACAGTTCCCTTGTCACTCGATGCGCACAGAAAAGAGGAGTCGTGGCTGAAATTAATACTGCAAAACAACAGAATACATAATCAATATTATTAAATGATCTCATTTTCGGTATTCAACTGCTTCCCTTTGGCAGAAGATCTAGAGTCCTAAAGTGTAGGCTGATCGATATAAGACTTGATATCAGTGGGTTTATTTAACAAGAGTTTATTTTAATTGATTTGTTTCATTGTATTATTATTATGGTCTGTATTGTATTATTATAAA